GAAAAATCTCTATTCAGATCCTTTACTCATTTAAAAGCTGCATTATGTGTTTATGTTACTGATTTGCAAGACTTCTATCTGTGTTCTGAGTACAAGTTCTTTATCAGATACAGGATTTGCAGATATTTTCATCCATTGCATTGGTGTCTTTTCCCTTTCTTGATGGTGTCTTTTGAAGCAAAACGTTTCTAATATTGATAAAAATCATGTCATCCATGAATAGAGATGGTTTTACTCCTTTCTTTCTAGTTCTAGTTACAATCTGGATGCCTTTTTATTTCTTTCTCTTGACTAATTGCCCTGGCTAGAGCTTCCAGTACAGTATTAAATCAGGTGCTGAGAGTGAACATCCTTGTTTTGTCCTTGCCCTTAGGGGGAAACTGTCCATTCTTTCTCAGTCATGCATGATAGGAGTATTTTGTAGATGCCCTGTTATCAGGTTTGAGAAGTTCCCTTCTAGTCTTCATTATTAAGTGTTTTTATTACAAAATGGTTTTACACATTTTAAAAAATTCTTGTTTCATACCTGGAAACATCAATCATTACTGAAAATATTTATGCTAATGGTAGGAATCTTATATTAAAATACAAACTGTAAATATAGAAATAACATGAAAATAATATTTAAAAAAAACATAAAAATAGAATAATAGGAATAGGAAGATATCTAATGGGATTGTTTTGACTTAATTTTTAGCATTTCTAAAAATTTAACTTGTCGATAAGAACAGTAAAGACTTTTTTTGTTTGTTTTCATTTACAATTTATATATGATCATATTTCACATAAGCTATTCAAATACTAATTATCAGCACAGAATCAGCTTATTTCTTAGTTGTACTTTAAAAACTAATAATCGATTTTAAATACCCTGAAACATTTATATTGTATTGAACTTCTGGAAAAGAATATTATCAGACATCATCTGGTCTACCCCTTTGTGCTTTACATGTTGTTGTTTTGTGCCACAGAGTCAATTCCAACTCAAAGCAACCTCTCATGACAGATTAGAGCTGTCCCCCAGAACTTGCTAGGCTGTAATCTTTTTTTTTTTCCTTTTACTTTTACCTTTGGATTTTTTTTTTCTTTTGCACATGTGCTTTATTCTGTCATCCCATTTAGCTTATAGTGGGGACTGTTTGTTTTGTTTTCTTTCCTGTGTTCCTTGAGTAACTGTGAGCTCCCCATAGCCTTTCTAGATCCCCAATATCTAGCATGGCATCCTGGGCCCTAGTGCACATAAGAGGAAAGGTGCTCAAGTAAATGTAATGCCTTGTCTTTAAGGCAAAAGGCTTTGTTTTTTATTTTATTCTTAATTTTTTTATTTTAAGAAGTTTGTTTTACATTCAAAATTATATGTACATTTAGTTTCACTCCCCATTTACCATCCCCAACCAGTAATTCTGGTCATTGTTTGAGTTTTTGGATTTTGTTCCACATTTTGGCTCCCACTCTATCCAGGATCTCCAGATTTGATCGTTTCCTGAGTGGTTGACATTGGTAGCTGGGCACCATCCAGTTCTTCTGGTCTCAAGGGCCATCGTGTCCTAGGGCTGATTGCTTCCAAATGCCCTTGGTTTTTTGCACTCTTCTTTGCTTCCAATGATAGAAGACCATTAGCTGCATCTTAGATGGCCACTTGAAAGCTTTTAAGACCCCAGTCACTACTCACCAATGTAGGATGAGGAACAAAATTTTTACGTATTTTGTTGTGCCAATTGAGTTCTGGTATCCCCCAATACTATGGTCCTGAGTCAGTAGATCCATTGGATCTCTCTCCTACAGTGTCTGGCTGTCTGTGAGAGATTACTGTATGTCTGTCTTCTGTTGTTTCTGTAAGGATTAGAGGTATTTTGTATCACTGGTATCTGTGCAAGATTAGCCTCTGCTGAATCTATCCTTAGTCTAGAGTATTCTCCTGTTCACTGACCCCCATCTGATCTTCTCAGATGTTTATGCATTTATCTGTAGTCTGGTGGTTGGTTTAATGGTAATGCAGAATTGTGGATATACTGGTTGGTATTAGCATCTGTTGATACTAATATCATTGGTAAGGTGGAGGGTCGACGACAGAGGGGAAGGCCCTCAACGAGGTGGATTGACACGGTGTCAGTGGCGATGGGCCCAAGTACAGCAAGGATCATGGAGATGGCTCAGGATTGGGTGGTGTTTCATTCTGCTGTGCACAGGGTCGCTGTGAGTCGGAGACAACTCGATGGCACTTAACAACAACAACATTAGCATCTGTTGTCTATATCTGATGTGCACTGTTCGGTGTACTCCCTTTTCCTAATGCTATCATGGTGGTCATAGACTCTTTCTATACAATCCCTCCCCTTACTCATGTCAGTATGTGGGCCTCAACTAGCCCAAAATTAATCCCTCTCCTTACTGGTAATCTACAGAGAGAGTTCCCTTTCTCCAGCAAACCCTTCTCTGTCTTTTTCCAGTAATGGGCTCATACAGTACTTGTCCTTCTGTGATTGACTTATTTCACTAGCATAATGTCCTGCAGGCTCATCCATGTTGTGAGATGATTCGCGTGTCCCTCTTGGTTCTTTAATGGAGCTTGTATTCCATTGTGTGCATGCCCCATGATTGGGTCGTCCTGGATTGGCTGTAATATTTATGGGAGCAGATCACCAGGTCTTTTCTCTCACAGGATAGCTGATGAATTTGAAACATTGACCTTTCAGTTAGCAGCCAAGGGCTTAACCATTCCACCACCAAGGCTCCTTGTGCTTTGCACAGGCCTCATTATCTACAATTAGGCCGCTAGTTGAATCCCTCCAGTAATAGGAAAAAATTAACACTAGGAAAAAAACAGGAGCTCTGGTAGCATAGTGCCTAAGGCGCTTGACTGCTCACTAGAAGGCTGGCAGTTCAAACCCACCAGCCACTCCTTGGAAGGAAGGTT